AGGTTATACGTAGGGTTATAATTGGGGTAACTCCATTTAGGGTCATTGTAACTCCACTAATAAACCTACTTACTAAGTCCCCTGCCCTTCCAAGTAAGCTAACTAAGCCCTAGGAGTTCACGTCACCCCCAGCTGCGGTCAAGGACCGAGGTTCGGGTTACAGGCGTGTCTTGCATGGGGCTAGGCCTACAACAACGATGCCCGAAGGCTCCATGCACCCGTAGATCATGGTTGAGTGTAGTGTTTAGGGTTTAGGATTTAGGGCTTAGGTATGGTATTAAAAACCTAGAAAAACCATTGTGTCTATTCCTTAGTGGGTTTAATCTAATTGCCAAGTTAAAAACCAAGCATGAAACCCAAGTACGACAAACATAAAGTAATTATATACGTTAGCGGCCTTCCAGGGGCTCCTACGTAGGTGCTGGATGTTGATAGGCTTGTGTACGTGATATATAAGATAGGTCCTGTAAGGCTTAGGAATGGATACCAAGTTCTGCCCAAGGGCCGCGAGAAGGACGTGTCCGTTCGAGAAACCTGCACAAGCTACGTGAAGAAGGAAGCTCGACTGTCAAACCCTCAAGCCCTACACCGTTATGTAAGCACACGGTCTAGGCGGGGGCCCTGCCGAAGCCCGAATTAGTAGAAGTATATTCGGTTCTATAGGGCTCCTTGAAGCTAAAGGGCTCTATAAGGGTACTGCAGGATTTAATGCCCAAAGTAGGCTCCTTTAAGAACACCCCAAAACCCTGTTCTTGTTATCAAGCCGCCATGGCGAAAGTGGTGGGGAACGCAGAGGTACGGTTGATGATATAAATCCTGCATTACCGTAAGGACCCTAAACTATGGGAATTATGGTATATTCCCTGTTATGGGCAATGCAGGATTTATATCATCAACCGTAGGAGTGGCTTCAGATAGACGCAGTTCTAAGTTCCCTAAGGGTCCATGTACCCAAATAGTATAGACTTTGGCCTTCAAGTAGTCCCTATATAGGTCATTGGGGCCAATGCATATACTATTTGGGTACATGGACCCTTAAAGAATTATAAATGCGGGTTCCGTGTCTCAGGCTTTGGGATGTTGGAGTTTAAGGTGTAGGGTTCAGTGGAGCATGATTCTGTTGCACCTGAAGTGCTTCCTGAGAGTTACTACGGCTAAGCTCTCACAATAGCCTGCAAGCTGCTTCTGCCAGCATGTTGACAGTGCCGCTGTTCTACACCCCACTATATACTTCGACCGTCAAAATTGACGCCGCAAATCCTGAAGCAGTTGCAAGTTGCAGCTTGGCGAGCATCATCAAGCAAACCCGGTTTAAAGGAATGCTTGGTGCAGGATCAAAGCTTTGATTTTTGCTTGCTGACAACGGAAGCGCAGCAGGGTTACCCTAAACCAAAACCTTAAGCCCTAAAATCCTAAACCCTAAAACCCCCAAACCCTAAACCGCCAAACCCTCAACCCAAAAACCCACAAACCTTATACCCTAAACAGTGCCCCGAAAGCGCCTGGAGCTGCCATGTTAGATGCGAGTGTGGTCGTTAAGTCCTGCGCAGAGGCAGGGATCGCGACTCCGGTTAAGGGCTATAGGGTTTTAGGGTTTAGGGTTAAGGGCTTTGGGGTTTTAGGGTTTAAGGTTTTGGGGTTTTAGGGTTCAGGATTATAGGGTTCTCGGGTTTAGGGCTTGCATGCAAAGTTATGAAAACAGAATTCAAGCCCGAATTATCCCTGAATCATGTTACGAATAATCAGAGTTTGTGGGACACGACCAACGTAAATAATTAACCCGAAACATCAGGAATGAAACTTTAGCGGCCGATCCGAACTCTTAACCTCCAGCTCCTTGTCGCAAGGGATCATTATCGCAAGCAACACGGCACCCATCACCTTGGGAGTGCGCATGTCTCAACATGCTTCCAGAACCACGTGTGTTTCCTGTTTGTGCACATGTGTGTGTGTATATATATATATATGTATACATATATATATATATATATGTGTGTATACATATATATATATACATATATACATATATACATATATATATATATATATATGCAGGTACATGTTGTTTTTTCGTTTTGCTATTGGCCAATACAGACATGTCACATGTATACATGACTGATCTGCCTATTCACCGACTCAGCAATCGTGGGAAGACTGTCTGCGCCGCTCGGTTCATAAAGCTACCCATGTACCCATGAACGCACATGAGGTATCAAACTGCGGAACACCTGTGCGGACATGCTAATTGCATGCAGGTTGAAGAATATACAGTATGGTTACATACGCACATCTATCTACCCATACAGGCATACACACACACAAAGAAAACACACTACAATATTACATAGACACAAACTATATTCTTCTTCGTCTTCGCACAGTTGCATGTATATTTATGGGTCATTACACAACAACTCAAGCTGCACAAAAACAGGTGCTATGCAAGTGCAGGTGGGAATATCTGCTACACAGTGCAACCCTCCACTGGATCATACCCATATTTTCTGAACAAGCCCGAAACGCCCTAAACCCTAGCCCTTTCGACCCCAAGCCCTGAAGCCCTAAACCGGAACCCCAATGCCCTCTAGCCCTAAACCCTCATAACTCAAACCCTCAAGCCCTCAACGCTACAGCCCATACCGCCCCGCAGCCCCCAACTCAACCCAGTTTTCCGAACCTTAGCCACGAACCCGATGCCTGCGCCCTCAATCCCAACCTAAGGTTTAGGATGTAGTAGCCTGATACCCTTCTGGAGCCCCTTGTAGGAAACCTGTAACTGTAAAGCCTAACACCCCAACCCAATAAAGTGAACTCTAAACCCTAAATCCCCCACAACCCCTCAACCTCCAACAACTAAGGCCTATATCCTACATCCCCTAAACACCTAAACCCTAAACCCCTAAACCCCCCGAAGACCCTCAAAGACCCAAACCCTGAACCCCTAAACCCCTAAGCCCCTAAATCCCTAAACCCTAAACACCTAAACCCCCCAAAGACCCTAAAAGACCTAAGCCCTAAACCCCTAAGCCCCTAAAACCCTAAAAAACCCTCAACTCCCCATCCCCGAAACACCTAAACACCTAAACCGCCCCAAAGACCCTCAAATCAAAGGGCAAAAGGAGGGACCCTTAATGGGGACCCCTCGCCTATAATTGGCTATATAATTGGTATATAATAGCCATATTAAGGGTATATACCTAGGGGTCCTTAGTACGGGTCCCACCTTTTACCCTTGGATCAAAGACCCTAAACCCTAAACCCTCAACCCTAAATCCTAAGACCCTAAAACCTAAACCCTCAACCCTAAACCCTAAACCCTGAACCCTAAACCCTGAACCCTCAACCTAAACCCTAAACCCTAAACCCTCAACCCTAAACCCTGAACCCTAATCCCTAAACCCTCAAAGACCCCGTAGCAGTGCCAGAGCTCCGCTCCGAAACTCTGCGCCACGAAGTTCAAAGCTCCCTCCGCAGGAGTCTTCTGGGGGTAAAACGGCTGATGATATAAATCCTAGGGTCCCTTTAAAGGGATCTATAAAGGTGCTCCTTTGAGGGATCTATAGAGGGCTTAGGGTTTAGGCATATAATAGATCCTGCATCACCCATAATAAGGAATATATGGGAATTATGGTATATTCCTTTGTTATGAGTAATGCAGGAGTTATATCATCAACCGCAGAAGGCTTCATGTAAGGGCTTCTCCTGGGTGAAAAAGAAGCTTCATAAGGGTTTCTTTACCACGGTCTGAACAAGGCTCTTATGAGCTTCTTTAAGGTTTATAAGGCTCATATAAGGGCTTCTTTAGGGTCTACAGAGCTCATAAGGGCTTCTTTAGGGTCTATAAGGCTGTTGTTAAGGAGCTCAGTCTAAGTTACCATGACAGGGGTCTATAGTAAATAATATGGCTTCTTTATTAAGTAACTTCGACAAAGTTCACCAGAAAAAGGCTTCATAAGGTCTTCTTTAGGGCCTATCAGGCTTTGGGTTTAGGCTTTGGGGTTTACGGTATAGGGTTAAAAAGCCTTCATAAGGGCTTCTTTAGGGTCTATAAGGCTTAGGGTTCGAGGTTTAGGATTTGAGGTTTGAGGTTTGGGGTTTAGGGTTGAAGGTTAGAATCAGAAAGGCTTCATAAGAGCGTTATGGGGGTTTGATTTAAGGATTAGGGTCTACAGGGTTTAGGGCTTCTGGTTAAGAAGGCTTCATAAGGACTTTATCGGGACCAGGATTCCATAAGAGCTTCAGGATTTAGGACTTTACGGCCTCTGGGATTTTCGGGCGTTAAGGGCAAGGGCTTTGGGCCTTTTTCAGATGAGGGCTCAGGGTTTGTGGCGAGGGCTTCTGTGAGGACATTTCAAAGCATATTCCCCAGACAGCTACCGAACTCCCCGTAAAACCTGAACCCTAAACTCTAACCCAAAGGCTCCATGTACCCATATAGTAGATACTTAGGCCTTAAAATACCTATATAGGGACCCCTTTAAGGCTTAAGTATCTACTATAAAGGTACGTGGAGCCTTTGGGTAAACCCTACACCATGTCGCGCCATGACGATCCCTCCGAGCTCTTTTTTCGCCTTTGCAGTCGGATTCCCTGAAGCTTTGGGGAGTTTGTGCATGCGGTGTACTTGAAGGCTCCTGGGACTTAGTAAGTAAGGTTATACGTAGGTTATAATTAGGATAACCCCCCTTAGGGGACTTATAACCCCAATTATATCGTACTTACTAAGTCCCATGATCCTCTAAGTAGCTATTCTTGGGAGCTGGGCGGAGGAGTTGCCACAAACACGGGGAAACGGTCCGGGGACTTCGTGGTGGTTAGTGAGTAGACTTATATGTACCCTAACACGGATCCTAGTTGGGGATATGATACCTGTAGTTTACAAAAGCCGATGATAGAAACCCTGCATGACCCATACGGAGGGATATACCATTATTCTCATAAACTGGGGTCTTGAAGGTCATGCAGAATCTATATCATCAACCGTACGTCCCGCGAGCCCCTTAGTGCACGTCCGGTCTCAGAGATCCACAGGCACCAGCTTTGGGAGCCAAGGACACTGCATCCAAAACGCCGACCAAAAGCCGTGCGATCTCAGGACCTTATGATTTTACTTGGAGGGGCAGGGACTTAGTAAGTAGGTTATAAGTAGAGTTATAAGTACCCAAAATGGAGTTACCCCAATTAAAAACCTACTTATAACCTACTTACTAAGTCCCCTGCCCCTCCAAGTAGGGTTTACTGTAGTCTCCATTGTAGTCCTTTTTTTGACCCAAGTCTATATTATAGGATCCTAACTCCTAACCATAAAATTGGAACTACAATGGAGACTATTGGTAGGGTTTAGGATGTAGGGAGCTCAGAAGCCCGAAAAGTGTATGCTTTCAGTTCTATAGAGGGTACTGTCTTTAGTATCCCAAAAAAGGTGTAAAGTGCTCTCATTCAGCCACTACGGGACGCTGGCCAGCACCAGCCTTCAAAAGAGAGCGGACGACATCGAAATGCCGGGAGCTGAGGTTTTCCTCCTTCAAAGTCTGCAACAGCAGCCGGACCACCTCCACATGGCCTTCCTGTAGGGGCCCCCTCAAAAGCACAGAGCGAGAAACTACGATGGAGATATCCGATACCCCCTAAAATCCTAAACCCTAAACCCCCTTTGTTTTTAAGTTGAAGTTGAAGCCCAAGAAGCTATATGAGGGTTTCCTACAATAGGGGACCCGAATGTAGTACCCCAGATAGTAGGATCCGTAGTATAAGGACCCGAACACAGGCTACCCCTAATTTTCGGAAACTCTAAACCCTAAACCCTTTATAGAACCTTTATAGGAACCCTTAAAGGATCCCTTTAAAGGTACCCCTAATTTTCGGAAACTCCCATATAGGCCCCTATCCTGTGCTGCGCGAAGGAGAGGCGAGTCTCCCAAGCAGCTCTCCAGATCGGCGTTGGCCCCGGCATCTAAGAGCAGGCGCGCCATGCGCACGTAGCCACGGATGGCAGCAGCCTGAAGAGCAGTGTGACAGCACCCATCCTTCAAGGGTCCAAGTACTTAAGCACCATATAATCTCCCAAACATGAACCTACATAACTACTATGCTAAACCCAAGTACCTTCTTATTGGGACCGTTGAATTTCACCCTCAGGGATCCTTCTGGTTCACATCAGCACCAAAGTCCAGAAGAGCACGAGCGACCTCGTGGTGTCCGTGCCAAGAAGCTTGGTAAAGTGCCGTCCTCTCGTGGGATCCTCGGCTTCGAAGTAACCAGGGAGAAAAAAGTATAGACTGTTTTCCCGTAATTGGTTCCCTTTAAGTAACAGGCGCCAAATAAGTACTAAAGTATGGTACTCCAAAGCCCAGGATCCACTTAAGATCCCGTGGTCTGCATTTGCTTCCAAGAGCATGCGCACTATCTCAAGGTGGCCTTCTGTGGATGCCAGAGACAGGGGTGTCTGTTGCTCTCCATCACCTTCTGCCGAACCTTGGTTGCCGAGCTCCGGAGCTCAAAAACAAAGTCTCACACCTTCAGCTCCTCGCGAGAGGTTCTGTTAACCAAAAACAGGATGAACATCTACGACTGTCTGGTGCTTGGTAGGGAATGGAGGAACGGATCCTTACAGTATGTAGCCCCTATATCATCCCAAATATCTAATAGTCTCCAGAATTTCCCCCAATTCCCGACGAAGCACCAATAAAGACGCGTTAATGAATCCTTTTCGTAGTCCCTCAATAATCCCCAATAAGAGTCGCCATAATTCCCCCCCTACCCTTCTAACCACCAGGGAGACGAGCTCAGCTCAGGAGCCAAGGAGGTCTGGGTCGGCTTTGGCCTCCAAAAGCAAAGAGACCACCTCCAGGTGCCCTAAGTCCGAGGCCACGACGAGAGGCGTCTGACCGAAAGCATTCCTAGGAGGTGCTATTAAAGCATTTTTAAGGACCCTAAACTATGGGAATTATGGTATATTTCCTTATAATGGGTAATGCCGGATTTCGTCCATCAGCAGTAGGAGGTGCTTTTAAAGCAGTTGAAAAATACTAGAAGGTAAGAATCCTCTTAAGCCCAAGAAGAGCAAGTATAAAATGTCCCAAAGCCCTACCTAGTCATCTTTCCTCTGAAAAATATTCGTAAATAGTATCCTCCTAAGACCACAAAGGAAAAACATAAAACCAAGATTCCCCCAGTTGGGATCCTGTGGTTGTCGGAGGATCTCCTCACAGGGGCTCCAGAACGGGGGTTAGGGGGTTAGGGGGTTAGGGGTTTAGGGTTTAGGGGTTTAGGGTTTAGGGCTCCAAGAAGGGGGGTTTAGGGTTTTTTTTTGGGGGGGGGGTTTATAGGGTGTTTAGAGGTGTACGTTTGAAGGGGTTTAGGGGTTCAGGGTTTTAGGGTATCTACGGTTTAGGGGTGTATAAGGCCCAAAAAATGCACACAAGCACAACTTAGGATAGTGATATCTCCGGTAAACCCCCTTGTAATGAAGCCCAATAAGGAAAGGATACCCCTGTAACATGCTATGCTTATGTCGTTTTTGGGGTCCCTAACCTCAACCTGTGACACGGAACCATCACCAGCGGCGATGACAAGCTGATCTTTGATTTCGCTCGTGATGTCGCAGGGGAAGGAGAGCAAGACAAGATGCAGGTCCAGTGGCATATCTAGCCTCGCATGGGACATGGGAGTTTTCGAAAAAAGGGGACCCTAATATAGTACCCCAAATAATAGGATCCTTATTACAAGGACCCCAATACAAGGTACCCCTAGTTTTCGGAAACTCTAAACCCTAAACCCTTTATAGAACCCTTATAGGAACCGTTAAAGGATCCCTTCAAAGGTACCCCTCATTTTCGGAAACTGCCGTAGCCTCACATCGTCCTCTAAGCTCCTGCCGTCGTAGAGGAGCATCTGCCGGAATCTCGGCACCCCACAGAGTTCCTGCAAGTGCCGCTTCAGAGCGCGGACATCGCTCAGCTCTTCCAGTCCTTAGCTGCTGAGTTCATAAGCCCCCAAAAAGTGTACACTTTCAGTTTTATAGTGGGTAATATTATCCCAAAAGGTGTAAAGTGTATCCACTCAGCTACTAAGAGTCTAACAGCAGCCAGCTCTCTGCCAGAGGCTTTCCAGACATGCAGCATCTGAGTGTTGATATCTGCAGGAGCTACATAACTGATTCGAAACAGCTTCGACATGAACGCCAGGATTCCAAGTTTCGGAGACATGAGGCCGTAAGGTACGGGGATTTGAGAAGAAGTAACGGGCTTGTCTATCTTAAGGGTGCAGATTGGGAAGCACAAGCCTTCGAACGGCCACTGCAGAGGTGGTACAGCAGAATCGGGTATCGTATCTTATAGCATGCCTACATTTGCGGCATGCAGTGAACCAGTACACTTCCGTACTTTTGTTACAGAACCCGCTGTTCCACTATGCGATTACGCTAGCTCGGTGTAGTCTGTGAGACATCGTGACGTCACCACTAAAGTTGAAAACGAGCGACACCGACGTCTGCATACCTGCTTCGCATCGCCCTTCCTGCAACCCTGCAGCTTTGCGCCCGAGTGCAAACGAAAGCTCTCATATGGGGGCCTTCATTACCTGAACGTGGTGGGCGGCCATTCCTTGTGTCGCCTCTCTCGATCTCGCCAAAACATCGGTCTTCAGCAAACTTTCAAGCTATCGTCGTATTCTTTAACTACCTATCTACCTACCTAGCCGTCTATCCTTTCTGTCTATTCACGCAAGCATGTCGTGCTATGTATATCGTATCCATGTGTCTATAAATATGTATATACATATATATATATATAGGTAAATATTATGATGCTACAGGATACCCATGCAGCTGTCCGTGGGTTGTAGGTTGTCTAGGATTTCGAAGAGCAATCAGATGCAAACCTCAAGTCGCGAAATCCTAAAAGCCCCAAACCCAAAACCCTAAACCCTGCATTACCAAACCGAAAACCGTTAGCCCAAACCGCTAAACCCATGCCCTATACCCCTAATATAGGGGTCTTAATGATTAGACTAGGGTTTCGGGCCCCATTTTTCTATAATAATAACAACACTAGGGACCTCCCTCACCCTCCGGGCCCATTACACTAGAATGGTCAACCCCCCCCCCCCCCCCCAAAGAAGCCGGGCCCATTATACCCCCCCCCCCCCCCAAAACCCCTCCCCTATAGCAAAACCCATCCCTAAACCCTAAACCCCTAAACCCTAAACCCCTAAACCCCTAAACCCCCCCCCAAACCCCCCCCCCCCCTATAGAAACCAAAACCCGAATCGCTAAGACAAAACCTGGCCTGTTGCCAGGAAACGGCTCCGCCGAGGCAGAGCCTCAGGGGTCATGGGCTTAGGGTCCCTTTAAGGGTTTAGGGTTTAGGGTTTACCCTAAGGCTCCAAACAGGGTCTTGGGCCTTGTGGGGGGAGGGTTTCGGCTTTGGGGGCTGGGGTTTGGGCCCTCACTCCAAGGGTCCAGGAGCCTTAGGGTAAGGTTTAGGGTCCCTTTAAGGGTTTAAGGTTTCGGGTCCCTTTAAGGGCTTAAGGGCTTAGGGTTTAAAGGGGTTTTAAGGGTTTAGGGGAAAAGGGTAATTTAGGGTTTTTTCGGGGTTTAGGGTATATAGGGGTTTAGGGTGGGTTTCTTTAAGGTTCCTTTGAGGGTTCTGCAGTGAGCTCAGGGTCCAGGTCTATGTTTGGGTGATGGGTTTGGGGTTTTGGGTTTTTGGGATGGGGTTGGGGGAGATTCAGGGCGCCTGAACAGCGGGACATAATAGTAGAGCTATAGGCCAACATTGTCTTTGTTGGGCTGCAGCCCTCACGTTTACATAAACGTGAGTTTATCAAGCTTGTGCCTGAAGCTTCACTTAGGGCTCTTGGGGCACTTCCAACTATACACGCAGGCGACAAGGACCTTTTTTGATTTCGTATTGTGTAATTGGTCTACGCTTGGCAAACTTACCTGGGCCTGATGGCCTTACTCTCTACTTGCTGACACTTGTACAAGGTAGTGGTCTGTAAGATTGAACAGATCTAGGTGAGCCTTGGAAAATATTAGTAAATAAGATCCTCTTAAGCCCAATAAGGGAAAATATAAAATGTCCCAAAGCCCTACCTAGAGATTGTCGTCTGGCAGCTACAAAGAAGCTGGCAGGTCCTGCAAGGAATTTGAATCCCAACCTTTCCGGGCCCTTGCAATATTCGAATCCCTCAAACCCCAGGAATAACAGGGCTCCCTGCGCGGTATTGGGTAGTGTTACAAGACGCCTAAGCCTAAGCCAAGAAAAGGGAAACAGGGCCGGCAGGGACATCCATAGTCTGACTCCAGCCAACCCTAAACCCTAAACCGTACCAGCTCCCAAGGATTGCACATGAACCACGGATTGCGGGTTGAGGCAGCTTCCAGGTTGTGAGTACTCAGAGATCCCAATATCCCTCAATTAAGGAATATACCTTAAATTATGGGAGCCTTAGTATTTGGTTTAAGGTGCATTCCATAATTAAGGGGTATTGGGATCTCTGCGTACGATCACTGGGTTTTTTTGTATGATTCGGAACATACAAATAAAGCCCTCGGGTCCTGCCAGCCCCGTATTTGAGTCTTCAGTTGAAGAGGAACCCGTAATCGCACGATCAAAAGCACCTTTCATAATTTACGGGCCTGACCAATTGGAACATGTTCTTTGTTTTGTTCCGTGGTGATGCGTATTCTAGTGTAAATATTGAATCGGGCCATAGGGATTTTGTGGTACGTAGTTTTTTAGAGTTCTATGTCTTTCGGGGCGGCGCTCCTCATGTATCATTCAACTAAAACCCAGGCACGAGAAGGTCACCGCACAATTCAGCTGCCCGCCGCTGTGGTGGCCAGTGGCATAAGCCAAGACCTGCAGGTTCGGAATACCCAGAGACTCCAATATCCCTTCATGAAGGAGCACTCCTTAAATTATAGTAGGATGCCTAATATGACTTAAGGAATATTCCTTAATTACGGGATGTTGGAGTCTCTGGGTACATTCATGCAAAGCCTTCCTTTAAAGACCACATGAACCCTCAAAGGACTGAAGGTTCGTCTGCCATGTAGGGCTTTGTAGAATAGGGGCATAGGGTCCCTATGTTTAAGGGTCATCTGGCTTTTTTCAGGCTCCCGTTGCACACACCTTGCATGTAACATGCGAGGGTACGGCTCTTGACGAAAACGTTACAGCTGTGCAACATGTTGTTCCTGTTCCACTTCCCCCTCACGTTACCCAGAGGTTTTAGGTCCCAAAACCCATACTGTGAATGGTTTTTCGACCTTGAATCCCCACTATTTGAGTACTGGGACCCCTACCCAGACCCCCGAGAGGATCCGACAAGTAGATCCCTTAATGGGGGTTCCTATAAAGTACCCTTAGTAGTATAGGGCCCCAAATTAGGGGATCTACTTTCTAGATCCTTTCGGGGGTCTGGGTATAGGAGGATTTTGTTTTACATCTTGCTCTTCGCCTTTTGTCATCATTGCGACCAGAAGACACTTTCACAAAGCCCCCCTTTGAAGAAGCCCGGAAAGGGGGGCCCCCTACAGCAACCTAAGGGTACCATAAGGACTTATAGGGTTAAGGGTTTAAGGATACCATAAGGACTTATAGGGCTTAGGGTTTAGGGGTACCATAGGGACTTATAGGGTTTAGGGATACCATAAGGACGTACAGGTCTTGAAAGGCTCCCTTATTATGGGTTCTGCAAGGGTTTAGGGTACAAGGGTCCATATACCCAAATACTAGACACTGTTGACTTTGAAGTGGTCTCCATATATGATACATACTTCGGGGCTAGAGTACATAATTACCATTTGTGTACACGGACCCCTGTACCCTAAACCCTTATAGGACCCATAAGGGAGCCCTTAAAGGAACACTAATTGGGCACATGGACCCTTGGGCTCCGGGATATATCACGTCTCAGGCCGAGCCACCATGACCCCAATGCCGAAGCAAAGTGCTATCACCAACTTCTTCTCGGGTGTGTCGGCGCCGTTCAGGGAGGCGGCTCCTGGCGAAGACTGATTCGGGGACTTAAGTTTTATAGGATTTAGGAATGGTGTTTAGGCTTGTTAGGGTCTACAGGATCCAGGTATAGTGTTTAGGTTTTGGGTTTAATTAGGGTGTATAGCGGCTTATAATTATAATAGTGTTTAGGGTGTCGGGTATAGTGCTTAGGGAGCCTGTTTTCGTTTTTGTTGGTCTGAGGTTTCCGAATTATTAACCTCAATTTAAGGTCTTCTCGAACTGTACGCGGTCATGACCTTGCTGGGTCCCAACAATGTGCAGACTAACACGGCTTTGTGGTGCCACGTTCTTGTATCCTGAGGGATAAATAAGATGTACCCCTGTCTTCTCAAGCAAGGGCTTATAGTTGGATTATGGTGTGGCAGGGCATGACATGCTCTTGACTGCCTCTTCGTTTTAGTCTAGATCTAACTTTCATGACATGAACATTACAGTACTTTCCGAAACCAAACACAACTCCACTACAGCCCGTAAACAGCAGGGCAGCAGCTCTTGATAAGAAGTACCGCCAGATATGGAGGTGAGAAGAAGTAGCCACTGTGTCACCTTACAATTCCGGAAACCCTGTTCTAGTCTTCCAACGGAGGCTAACAGTCGAAAGCCCTTCATAAATCCCAAACCTAAATCCTGAACCCTGAAGCCTAAACCCCTAAACCCAAACCCCTTAGATCCCCTATAGTAACCCTTAGAGTCCCCTTTGGAGGAACCCTTAAAGGAACCCTGGGCCCAGAGCACTTGCATCCCGAGTCGCCGCAGCCAATGAACACCAAAAGCATGGTGCCGACAAATTCTGCCATGGCAGCCTTTAAACGGGCTTTCTCTGCTGTCATTTATGGTTTGGGGTTTAGGGGCTTAGGGGTTTAGGGGTTCAGGGTTTAGGGGTTTATCGCTTAGGGTTATAAAGGTTCTAGTTTGAGGATTCTATCCGGGGTACTCTGGGCTCTAGCTATAGTCTCCATTGTTGTTCTTTTTTTCGGTTAACCAAAGTCCCTATTCTAGGATCCTGACCATAAAAACTGGCTAACCAAAAAAGGAACTACAATAGATACTATAGGTATACAGGCACTGCAGGGCTTTGGGCGTTAGGCGCATTTTAACAATTGGACCTTGCCTGGCCTTACTGAATCAGGATTTCGGGTTCAAGGCCGTTTCGGGCTCCGGGACAAAGCCCTGCGTTGTACCCAGAGAGCCAGCCCCCACCCCGAAGCCAAAACGCTACACGTCGTCAAACACTGCCTCCCAATGACCTTCACCGAAAAAGGCACCTAAATCCTATAAACCTCCTAAACCCTACACCCTAAACTCCTTACCATCCCCCCAAAAAACAAAATGGTAAATGGATGGTTCTGAGGCACCATCAACAGAAATGTCCATACTTTGTGCAGGTCATCGTGATGATGTCGTTGGGAGCGATCAAGACATTCAATGCCTTCTGCATTCAATCCCTTGCCTTTTCCGATTGCGGTGTTCGGCTTCTTGGTAATCTCAATGTCGCCCTTGGAGTGCTTTATTTTGTTATGCTCGGCCTTCGGCTTGCCACTAAACTTTGTGTCACAGTCGTCGCTGAGAGAAGCGAACCAATCTTTTACCAATTTGTCCCCCGCCCTCGCCCCACGCGGCACCGCAGAGCCCTGAGTCTGAAACCCAGAAGCTGAAAGCTGAAACCCAAGCCTCAAACCCTCAAAGCTCGAATCCCAACCCCCGTTGTCCATGCACCCGAAAGCCTTGATAACATTCAAGGGTTCTATAAAGGGTACCTTTAGGACATATACGGCTCATTATAGGCTATCAGGGTCCATGCGCCCAAATAGTATATGCTTTGGCCCTGAAGTAGTCCTACATGGGCACTTTGGGGCCAACATATATGCATGTGGATACAAGGACCCTTAGAGTAACTTCTACGCAGCGCTTATAGAACCCCTGTTAAAGCCCTAGAGAGAAGTTCAGAAGCCCCCAAAAAACCCTCACACAACCCTTAAAAGCAACGAGAACAAATAAACCCTAAACCCTGAACCCTAAGCCCTAAACCCTAAGCCCTACACCCTAAGCCCTAAACCCTAAGCCCTAAACCCTAAGCCCTAAACCCTAAGCCCTAAACCCTAAGCCCTAAACCCTAAGCCCTAAGGCCCCGACCTTGATTCAACCCTGCACAGAATTGAAACCCCTCAGGCCCTAACCCCTCCCTGAACCCCAAAGAACCTTCCTTTTTAGCACTCCTTGTCTAGACCCAAGAGTAACCTAGGAACAAAAAGGGTGCCCTTTTTGGTTTAAAGGGGCTTATAAGGGGACCTGAACCCTAAAAAAAGGGAAGAAGGGCCTACTCCAGGTCCTAGTTGTTATGATTTCGTTTTATAAGTCCTTGAAAAGGTATAGGTTATTTGGGATGAAGGTCAAACCTCTAACCTCTAAACCATGAAACCCCTAAACCCTTAAGCTCTAAACAGCTCAACAGTAAACCCAACAAGCCCAAACCCAGAACCCTGCAAAGCCTGTCCTTCAGACCTTCCAAACTCCCTTAGTTACCGGGAGGTATCCTAAATTATAGCAAGATCCCCAATGTGATCGAAGGTATATTCCTGAACTCAGGAAATAGCCTCATATGAGGAAAATCCCTCATCTTATAAAATGTCTATTCCGTAATAAATTAACCCCAAGGGTCCAAGTACCCAATCATCAGACTCCACAAAATCCTAACCTACATATCTACTACCCTACACCCGAGTACCTAATTGTTGTGTCCTTTGGACCCCTAGTCACAGGGACCCTTGAGGGGGATAATGGGGAGGGGGGTAGGGGACTATACTTCCTCAAATTGGCCTTATTAAGTCCTTATTGTTGGTATTAAGGCCCCCTAAACCCCAAGGGTCCCTACTTGGAGGGTCATGGGACTTAGTATGTATGGTTATAAGTACCTTAAGTGGGGTTACAAGTAAATATGAGCATAGTTACCTTCTTTATAACCCTAGTTACCAAGTCCCACGACCCTTTAAGTATGACGTAGGGTGAGTGAGTTGTGGAGTCTCTGCGCCTTCATGTCCACCTTCCCGAAAGAATCTTCGCCGAAGCCGGTGTCTGATCTGCGGCTGCCCCAAGAGACTTTCACCCTTGGCCGTTGAGGTTTTACCTATAGTCTCCATAGTAGTTCCTTTCTTGGTTAACCAGTTTTATGGTTATGGTTTACAAAAGAGATTGTGGTTAACCAAAAAACAGGAACTACAATGGAGACTATAGGTAGAGGGTAGGGGTTTAATTAGGGTTTAGAGCTTAGGGTTTAGGTTTAAGGATGTTTAAGGGTTACTTTAGGTTTAGGAGTTTCGGGCTTCGGGCTCGCATACGGGTTCACTTGGCGGCTCAACTGTAGGAGATATTAGGATGTCCTTAAGGGGGGGTGGTCCAAGGGGGGTAGGTAACCTAGTAATCCCCATTGTTCCCCAATACTCCCTAAGCTTCCCTAAGGTTCCCCAAAGCTCCCTAGTACCCTCCCCCCTTGAACCACCCCCCCTTAAGGATCCTATAAATTCTAACTTTGCCGACCCAAATCTTGGGGCAGATTTGCTAACCCAAGGTTACACCACACGAAAACAGCACCGAACAACTTCCGAGTCCATGAGATCCCACCCCTGAAGACAAAAGTCCCAAGAGAACGACAGGCTGGGATATTGTGATTTAGGGCTCAAGGTTTTTGTCAGGCTAACCTTTGGGACATTGTGCGTGTACATGTGTGTGTATATATATATATATATATATGTGGGTGGTTGCCAAAATTATGATCCCTTTTGGGGTCCTTGTTTTAATGCGGCACCTAATATTTAGGGTACCCCAAAAGGGACCCTATTTTTTGACAACCACCCATATATATATATATATATATATATATATATACATGTATGTATAAGCACATAGGGGTACCGGTTCCGCGACCCCAACTTGATGAGTTGCTCCATATATAGACTCTAGACCCCACAGCTTAAAGGCTCGACAGAGCCTTCAGTGAACCTCCAGCATACCCTATACACGGAGGAAGTTCCCTAAACCCCCAAACCCTGAACCCAAAACCGAAAAACCCTACAGTGAACCTTCATTCGTACCCCAACTTGTCGGGTATCATGGGGAACTAAAGTTAAACTTTTTGGTTATATAGGGATTATATAGGGACTACACTACCCCAAAAAGGTTATATAAAGGTTACCTACTCGACTACTAGGTACCCTATAAACGGACGAGGTTTTCTTGCCCGGCTGCTGGTCAGAGAGCAGCTTCGCCTGTCCGGCCGGAAAGAAGCAAGGGGCTTAAGGCGTTTTGTGGTTGGGGGGGTTTGGGGCGTTTTGGTGTTTAGGCTTTAGGGTTTAAGGGTTTTGAGTTTGGGTTTCTGGTGTTGGGGGGTTTGGGGCGTTTAGGGGTTTAGGGTTTAAGGGTTTTGAGTTTAGGGTTTTGCGTGTTGGGCGGTTTGGGGCTCAGGGTTTGGGACCTGGTGTCAGGGAATATCAGCTAAAGTTGGTAGCTGCATCGTTGGAACAGGGTTTAGGGGTCAGGGCTTCGGCTTTCAAGCGTCACTGATTCGAATTGCTTTTGCGGGCTCGAAATATGGGAGTTTCCGAAAATTATTTGGGTCCTTACAATGACGATCCTACTATTTAGGGTACTATATTCGGGTCCCCTATTTTCGGAAACTCCCATATTACTGTATAATGAGATGAGAGCCGCAAGGGGATACGATTGGCAATTATTCAGAGCCCCTGTGGTACCCAACGCGCCTACGAACCTCGAACTTCTACGAGCCTGAACCTCAAAACCCAGCCCGAAACACTAAAATCCTGATGGCATGAAACCTAAACCCTTACCCTAAGGGTCCATGTACCCAAATAGTATACTTTGGCCGCATATTAGCGAAATAGGGACTACTTCAAGGTTAAAGTTTATACTAATTTGTTGGATACATGGACCCTTGGGGTTATATAAGCCTGAAACAAAGAAACCTCCATTGCTTTGGTTTGGGTATATGGACCCTGAGGGCTCATCTCTGGCGCCTGAGGGGAGAAGAACATGCGCGCCATAGCAGCCAAGAGCCCCCCCAACAATGGCCCAACCCACCTCGGCGGTTTAGGGTTTAGGCGTTTAGCGGGGTTTAGGGTTGAGGGTGTTGAGGGCTTCTGAAACTCGAGGTGCCTTGTGGGACATGTTTAACAGTGGGGCCTCTTCGTCTGAGCAAGTATTGGCAACGGAGAGCAGCAAGAGCCCGAGACATGTAGTCTCGGAAACCTGGTCAAGTCGTCTCCTCAAGCCCCACCTTAAGGACCAGATGACCCTTAAAAGTAGGGAACCTATACCCTTACAGTATGAATCCCAAAAGGCCCTAAAGGATACGTGAACCTTAAACCCTTCCAGGGTTCATGTCGTCTCAAAGGTAAGAGCTTAATCGATACGTGAGGGTTAATCGGATGTCGTAGATAGATAAGCTTATAACCAAGGTCATAATTAGGAGTTCCCAACTCAGGGCAATCACAACCCCACCTAATACCCGAAACCCAAGACCCTAAACCCTAAACTAAGTCCCTTTAGCTCTCATGTGATTGAAATTCCGCACTGAGACAGTCCCTGAGACTCGCAACAGCCCATAGTAGGCACTATCCATAGACTTTAGATGGTCTAGGATTAAGGTTAAGTGCTATCTGTAGACTCTAGAGATCTTGGGAGACTGTAGAGCCCAAAGTAGGCTCCATTTCAATACTTGGAGTCTTGGGGTTTAGGATTCAAAGGTTTGGAGCCTGAAGCGCGAGGTTGAGAGTTGCGGCTGCGGGGTCTTAGGGTTAGGACCGTGGGATCTGGGTTTCGGGTTTGGAGCTGGAGGTTTAGTGTTTCGATTTGTCTTATTGATTTTGTTGCTTTGTTGTTTCGAGTTTTGCGTCGAGGGTTCAGGGTCTTGGACATCTAATAACTGGAGCCCTAGGGATCATAAGTGATTGCTAAGGAGCAGCGTGCCCCTCTGTTGTAAGCCCGGTATATCAAGCAAAGCCAAGATGCATCATCCAAAGCGCCTCGATACCACCTTCTGTGAAGTTGTCACAGCCTTTCGTGCGGATCATCCGCGGCTTGCTTCAGCGGACCCTACACCCTGAAGCGGAAACCCTGCATCCCGTACATACTGCCCCTCCATCCTTTAAACTCACAACTTTGAGCTTTAATCCTCCACACATACCGGCTGTTTCTGATCAACTACCTGGACCCTAAACAACTTACCCTAAGGGTCCATGTACCCATATAGCATATACTTTGGGCCCACTGTACCTATATAGGGAATACTTTAAGGCCAATGTATCTGCTATATGAGTACATGGACCCTTAGGGTTACCCGATTCAGAGACTTGCACGATAAGGAGCCCTGAAAATGTTAGTTCCTCAGGATCCAGGTATGCCACGCATTCGATATCATCTGGGTTGGCCTTTAAACACCCTGGAAATGTTTATATATATATACATATATATATATATATATATATATATAGGGTCCCTTATAAACCCAAATAAGGAAAATAAAAAATGTCCCAAAATCCAACCTAGTCATGCACTTGTTAAAGAACACACAGGAAGTCTCGGTAGCTGTGGCTGCAACTCGGAGGCAGCTGAACACTAGTACAAGTTCTGCAATTTTCTTCATTATCTAAACAGATATCGGGGTCCCTAAACCCTATGCAAAAAATCCTAAGGGGAGTATAACTATAAATAGTTCTGAATATTCTCTTGGGTTTATATGAACAAAAATAAACAATATTTCCTAAGGAGACTAGAGCTATAAGACCCTGATAGAGCCCTGTATAAGAAGCCCTTCCCTCGCAGGTGCCGCCGCAGTGGCCACGAAGCTTCGAGACGAGCGCCGGCCCCAAGGAACGGTTTGGATTGATCGAGCAGCCGTCCACCTGTGCTTTGGGGTTTAGGGTTTTAAGGGGCTTATAGGGTATATAGGGTTTCTATGGTTTAGGGTATCTAGGGGATATAGGTATATAGGGTCTAGGGCTTATAGGATTTAAGGCTGAGGGTTTGCAGGATTTAGGGTTATGGTTTGGGGTTCAGGGTTGAGGGTCTATAGGTTTTACGGGTTTTGGGCTACATTATGCTATAATTTGGCAGGACTAGCTCTGCAAACACCAAAACAACAACCTAAACCCTAGACACTATAAACAAAAGACTCCACACCCTAAGCCCACAATACTATCAAGCTGAGGGAACCCCAGCAGTGGATGTGTTTTTTGCTTCCATGGTTCAAGGAACGCGGAGGCTCCCCTAAAAGAACCAGTATGGGTTTAGGTCTTCAAACCATCCTTATTAGGGCTTGAAAGGCCGAATTCCATAGTTAATTATGGCAGTATATATGGGTGGTTGTCAAAATAATGGTCCCTTTTTGGGTACCCTAAATATTATGTGCCGTATTATAATAAGGATCCAAGAAGAGACCCTAATTTTGACAACCACCCATATGGAGCCTCTGGGGAAAGCAGAAGTCCTCATGACCGACCAGTTGAATCCCTGAAAAAGGGGAGGCACCTTACCTGTAGTCTCCATTGTCGTTCCTTTTTTGGGTTAACAAGCTTTATGGTTAGGATTCTATAATAGAGATTTGGGTCAACCAGAAAAAGGAACTACAATGGAGACTATAGGTAGGAAGAAGCAAACAGTTGAAAGGTAGATAAGTATTGAGGGTTTAGGGTGACATAAATCATGAGAACGGTTTGGGCAGATATCAAACCTTGTGGGTCCAACGGTTGATGGTATAAACCCTGCATGACCCATAACAAGGAATATAACATGATTGCCATAGTTTAGGGTCCTTAAGGTAATGCAGGTTTGATATCATCAACCGAAGTAGTCCTTCTTTATGGTTTTTTGTACTTATGTAGGTTAGGACTTGGGAGAGTATATGATGATTGGGCACTTGGACCCTTCGGGGCAGGAGTTTGGGCATTCTTGTAAATTAGAGGTCCTATGGCCGGTTCAGCAGGGAGCTCAAGCACTTCTTTCACTCACATCGTCGCCTTTCTTGGCGCCTGGTCTGCTAGATCTGCTAGATTCATTTCTGGAAGGCATTGGAGCTGCCGAGGTGCATGAATCAGAACGTTGATGGCGAGAAACACGGAGCATCCGATCCTGAAGCTTCTGGCTACACCCTGAACCACAAATATTTGGCTATTGCAAGGGTCTAGAGAAAAGACCTGCTCGATGAACAGGGACAGGCCGTAGTTCCAAGACTAAGAACATCAACAACCAGACAAAGACGCAATACCGACCAGAGCAAACTAAAAGTTAAAGAATGTGCGTATCGGTGCGAAATAGGTATAAACCAACTCGGCATCAAATCGGGCGTTCATGATTGGTCTGTCGGGGTGGGGTACATTATAGCTTAGTCTAAGTCTAATCTGTCCAGTAATCCGAGAGAAACATCGAGGCAGAGAACATGCCACTAAACGACCTGATAAGCCTACGTAATAAGGTGTACTATGTTAGTTGGGTATCCGGATCCCCGTACTGGAATTCCGTGCGTGTGAGGGGCTAGACCGGCTCCCTAAGCCTTAAAGGCCACGTGCATTATAGGGGCCGAAATAATTACCTATACTATTTAGGAGTAATAGTTACATATACTATTTTGGGGGGGGTCTCCTTACTATGATTATAGTATGGTGGGCCCCAAACCCTAGTCTAATTAATAGGCCTCTATATTACCCTGAAAGGGTTTCTGTCGCTCTCCCAAACTCTTGGAAACCAGTCACACGACTTCTGTGGTATGCGGTACGAACAAACATATCCACTCTATGCAGTGCTCAGGGCATAATACTGGCGATAAACCTTAAAAGACCAGATGACCCTTTGAAGTAAGGACTCTGTACCACTCTACGACGAACCCTAGCGCATTTCGTGTGTCAAGTGGGGTCCTACAGTCTTCCGAATACGATCGAATCCCGTCCACGAGATAGGATTAGGATGTACAGTGCTGGGTAAGGGTTTCCTTCAGGGCCCGATAAGGGCCCCATTGAGGGTTCTATTCGGGTTCTATCAGGTTTCCTTTAACTAAGGGATTTGCAGGGTTCTGTTGTGGGCGCTGTAGGGGTCTGACCCTAAAAGCCTAAAAGCTACACTCCAATATCAAGCTCTAGACTCTAAACCCTCAAGCCACAACCGGATATTCGGCTGCATTTTTGCAGCCTTAGTATTTACAATAGGGCTTGGGGCTAAAATCGACGAAGAGTGCGTTACAAAAAGGAAGCCCCGCAGTAATATCGGTAATCATTACGGTTGTACATTACTTCTTGAGGGGGCTTTCCTAGAAACTCTGCAGTTTCTAGATGCGGACTCCCTTCTTCACGAGTAAGGTACGCGAAAGGGGAAACAAGCGGCATGACAGAGTCCTAAACGATGACCTCTACCTCGTGCTCTTTGAATCGAAAGGGGTTTAGGGTTGAGGGTTGAAGGTTTACAGGGAACTCCAGAAAGTTGGAATATGGTTTCATGGTAGGATACCCTATAATTTACCATAGAAGGGTTAGGATAATGATATTCCAACTTTCGGGCTTCTATTGTAGGCCATCTTGTGCTTCACATCTTAAGTCCTTTATGAAACCTTTGGAGAGGAGCACCCGCGAAGCATATGCAGACAAGTGGCACCAAACACGAGTTGTTGCCACAGCTTGACACCGGCGTCACTGCGGTCTCCCACACCTTTTAAGATACGGGCCTTCATAACTGGACTAGGGTCTTGTGATGTTGTACTACACTTATACTAAGGAGCCCCAAAATGGTAGTGGTAGGGTTTTGGGCTCCTTTGCAGTATAAGCATAAGCCCCTTAACATAAGGAATGGGGCTTAAGCTGCTTAAACCATATTGGGTTTCTGAATAGTTATTTGTCCGGCGCATCCTTCCACCTGCCCTTGCATGCAAATCGAACTAGACCCAGGGTGTCAAGACAACTCTTAGCCCAGGGTTTTAGGGTCTATAGCCTTTGGAGTCCTTGAAAAAGTCTGCCAAGAGGGGAAACTACCTTCTGGCTACGTTCAAGACAAGTCTTTGCAACAACTAGCTTGACAAAGGAGCATGTCAGTGCCGAAACCTCCTTCCACACCCTGGAAACACCGTCGGGCAGGAGCCCAAACCTCTGATAATATTCCCTGAGGGTCCAAGTGCCTAATAATCATATACTCTGAAGAATCCTAGCCTGCATGACGATTATCCTAAAACTATTGGGTCCTTTGGACCCTGAGGGATTCTTGCATGTTCCAGCGGGCTGGTGCGCACGTGAAAATTGGCGAATCCTAACCGCGTATCGCTTCAAGCTTTGCAGCCCTGCATAACTACGAGACAAGTTTGCGGAAAGCTGAAGCCGCATTATCCACAGAACCTTGAAGTAAAGTAGTATCAAGAAAGAAACTCAGCATCACTACACTGTAAACTTTACTCCAACTTTCCAGACTTCACGGTAAGCCCCATCACATCTGTGAAACCTGCTTCTTTGAGCCGCTCTCACGGAAACACAGCCCACGAGCTTGCTCAGCGTTTAGAGGCTAGATGCACTCAGGGTCCAAGTATGCGCAAAGCACATACTTGTGTCACTGCCCCCGAAGGAAATATGTAGGAAGCTCTTTGGAACAAAACCCTTAACCCTTTAAAACCTAAACCGCTTGAATACTTGGACTTTTTTCGGAACCTGGGGGCAACTTTCAAGCAAAGATGCGACGAAGCAGAGGAGGAAAGTGCCAATAGCCTCCTTGGTCGAGTTCTGATTCAGAGATGAAGATAGATGGAGGAGCTTTAATGATTAAACCGGACTTCATTGGCGTCTAGTTTCGTGTGTGAAGTTAGGGGATACGGGATACTATCAATACTTTTTCAGACCCTGGACCCACTTTGACTTGGTAAGTATGGCTGAAAAGATAACCCGCAGAACGTTTGAAACCTGCACATTAAGCCCAATAACCCATGACAATAACCATAACCCTATTCCTCAACAAAGGTTATCGGGCTGTCTGGCTTTCCCTAAGGGTCCATGTACCCATATAGCATATACTTTGGGCCCACTGTACCTATATAGGGAATACTTTAAGGCCAATGTATCTGCTATATGAGTACATGGACCCTTAGGGTTTCAAAAAATCAATATTAGGGTCAAGGTTTTGTCTCAAGCGTGACGCACTTGCTCCTTCAACGCGAGGCGGATAGGGATTCTTGTTCGCTGGGCTACTGATGCAAGCGATACCTGGACCCCTGGGATCCTACCTCTTTAGGGCTCCATAATATGATTTTTTTAAACAAATCCTAAACAGGGTAGGTTACTTGGGGTTAAGGTATTGGATATTCGCTAAAGGACTTGGAACAGGGTGCAACTGTTCGGCTTCGAGGGCATGTAAGCTTTACAGGGGTGTTGGGTGTGTAGACCTTTGACTCTTAGAGGCTTAGTATACGATGGCTGAGTCTCAATGGTTCTGCTAGCTGGGCCTGTGTTTTGAAGGTTTCGAGCTTGGCTTCGAGATTCCATTCCTTCCAAGGTTTAGGGCCCTAAACCCTGAACCAGGGAGTGTGGTTGCGAAGTCCCTACGACCCAAGGATCCGAGTCATGGCCGTAGCATTGCGTATAGAGCACTAGCGAGGGCAGTGACACTGACAAATACACGTGGTATAAGGGTTATGTTCAGGGACTAGCAAAGACTCAAAACGATGGGAATCGCCAGCATGTGGAGACGAGAAGCTCAACATAATTGCGTAAAACGAAACGACGAGAAACAAGAATCTGTGCATTCACGTGGGCGCTTCGTTCGGTACCTCAATACGAGACCCCATGCAAACCCTAAGCCCTAAACCCTAAATTTAGCAAAGCATCTGCCAGCACCACCTGGTAGTCTTCGTAACCTGGCACTTCGCTTTGTGGCATATAGTAAATTATATAGTATAGTGTAGTGTAGTGTGGTGTTGTAACAGCACGCAACATATTATGACATGATATATACAAAAAAAATATATATATATATATATATATATATATACACACATATAATATAGTTCGGAAAGCTCAACCCAACCCCTCAAACTCAGCACCATCTGGACACTTAGAGAGCCTTCAAGGGATACCAACGCACACTCGCTGCACTCTGAACCCGGAAGACTAAACCCTCAGACTAAACCAGGGTAATATAGGGGCCTTGATAATAAGAATAGGGTTTTGGGACATAATACACTATAACTATAATAAGGAACCCCCCAAATAGTATAGGTAATTAGTTATTATTTTTGCTGTTTCTTAGGGATTGTCATAACCAAAATTTGAAAAAGATAATTATTGTTGCCCCTATACAAATCGGAGTCTTGCTTCAACTGTTTGGGCTTTGGGCTTTGCGTCGTCGGGCTCGGTGTAAGGTTTCAATTTAAAAAGGAGGGACCCTTAATGGGGACCCCTACCCTATAATGGGCTATATAATGGGTATATAGTAGCTATATTAAGGGTATATACCTAGGGGTTTTTATTGCTTAGCTTAGGGTTGAGGGTGTAGGGTTTAGGGTTCTGCACCGTTCTTGGTGCAGGTAAACCATCCCTGATGGGAGGCCAAAAGGGGGGTTTAAGATTCTTGGGGTAGGGATTTAATATTCACCCTAGGATAAAACCCCTTTTGGCCCCCTCTGACATCCCGGAAGTCTTCCAAGTCATGTGCAGCGGACAGTTAGCTAGGATACCCAGTAACCTAGGAATAAAAAGGCCTCTCTTTTTGGTATTGGGCAACTTTATAAGGAACCTAGGACTAGAAAAAGGGAATAAGGGTACTACTGGGCATCCTAGTTAGGGGATTGGGGGCCTTTGGGGTTGCGCTTGTAGGGTTTTGGGTCTGCAGGTTTATACTTTCGGGCTAAGGATTCAGGCAGGTGGGGCGGCCTAAACCCTGTAGCCTGGTGAATCAGGGTTTAGAGACTTGGGTGGTTGTCAAAATTCGGGTCCCTTTTGATTCCCTAACATAATAGGGCACCTATTATTTAGGGTGCCCCCTAAAGGGACCTTAATTTTACTACCCACTTGTAACCCAGACCTTCCAACACCCCTTAAGGAACATACCTTAAATTATAGTAGGACCCTTAATATGATTTAAGGTATAATCCTGAAATTAAGGGATTT